TGGCCCTCTTTAAATACTTACATTAAAATACTTAAAAATCGGGACGTGCCATTTAGCGAATTTTCATGGCCTTCCGCAAAGTTATCAACACGTTAGCTGCTTTAGGCGCGCATTTTAATAAATCCACCTTCTTAAACTCGGGTGAGCATTTCATGTGACCCAAATCCAAATCCTTAAACGTTGAATAAAATGTGTTTCGAATCCGGGTGCATTTCATGTGACGTGATCCAAAAACACGTTTTAAATGACGGTCAACCTTCCTTAAAAGTCAATTAAAAGCGGTAAATAATTTTAAATTGCACTATAGGATGAACATGTTTTAAAATCAGATATTAGGCCAATTATGATAGTTTAAGCGACCGTGCTAGAACCACGGGATTCGGGGGTGCCTAACATTTTCCCTCGGGTCAACAGAATTCCTTAGTCAGAATTTATGGTTCGCAGACTTCATTTAGAAAGTCGAAATTTCCTCGATTTGGGATTCAAGATAAATCGGTAACTTGGACACCCAAAGCCAAACCTATTCCAAGTGGTGACTCTGATCATTAAATAATCCCATTTCGAATAATGTCACTTTAATTGGAAAAACTCCCTTATACACTATCCTTCGGGGGTATGTGTGTAAAAAAGGAGGTGTGACACCTATGGTTATGATCCCGCTACGCTGGGGACCAGCAATGATGAAGAGGACTTGGACGGGCTTGCATCTTATGCTTGGTATGACGATGAGTATGTTGTTGGCGCGAGCGAAGTTGGAGATGGTGCCGGGCGGTGAAGGTGGCGATGGCGCAGGCGGAGATGATGCAGTGTGATTTTCTTGTACTTAGTTTTTTGTTCTTTTCTTTCTTTTTTCTTCTTCTCTTTTTTTTTGGTGGGGGCGTCTTTTTGGACCTTTGTAAGATGCTTTATTGTTTTGAATGGAATGACTATGACTCTTTGTTGTATGTTCTTGGCTTTTTTCGCTTTTCTTCGAATGTTTTTCCTTTGAAGAAGTTCTTGACTCTTAGTTGATTCGAACGAGGTCGAATGTTAATTAATTCGAGTGAAGTCAAACGCTAGTTGATTCGAATGAGGTCGAGTGTTAATAAATTCAAACGACGTCGAATGTTAAATAATTCGAGGGAAGTCGAATGTGAGTCGATTCGAGCGAGGTCAAATGTTGACCCTTAGTTGATTCGAATGAGGTCGAATGTTAATAAATCCGAATGAAGTCGAATGTTAAATAATTCGAACGAAGTCGAATGCGAGTCTATTCAAGCGAGGTCGAACGTTGACCCTTAGTTGATTCGAGCGAGGTCGAATATTAATAAATTCGAATGAAGACGAATGTTGAATAATTCGAATGAAGTCGAACGTAAGTCGATTCGAGCGATGTCGAATGTTGACCCTTAAGTGATTTGAACGAGGTGAATGTTAACAAATTCGAATGAAGTCGAACGTTAAATAATACGAACAAAGTCGAATGTGAGTCGATTCAAGCGAGGTTGAATGTATGCATACATAGGAGAAGTCCCAGTCTATCTAGTCCCTTCATTGGTCGACCTGGAAAAGTAGTTGAGAGGTCAAGCGATGAACTTATACTTACCTTCGGGACGCTCTCTTCTTCGTCTCGTTAAAGACCTCCTCGAGAAAACCCAATTGGGGCAAAACTCGGGTAAGGGAAAAAAGAGTACGACTCAGGAGACGTCTATCCTTAGAAGTTGAAATATTTGAGGTGGGCGACGTTCCAATTATTTGGTAGTAGTTTTCCCTCCATTGTTTCTAGCTAGAACGACCCTTTGCTTACTGCCGCCGTGATTTTGTATGGGTCACCCCAATTGGTTCCCAGTTTTCTTTCTCGTGAGTCTTTGCTTGTTTGTGTTTTGGCTTTGACTACATAGTCCCCGACTTTGAGTGGCCTGATCTTGGATTTTTGTTGTAGTACCGCTCTGCCTGTTGTTTTTTAGCTATCATTCTTATGTAGGCCATGTCTCTCCGCTCTTCGGCTTCGTCGAGATCTTGCCTTCTGCTTTCATCATTGCTTGGCCCGCTCTCGTTTGAATACCTTAGGCTTGGTTCACCGACTTCGACCGGTATTACTGCATCTGTCCCATAGACTAGTGAATATGGTGATTCTTCTGTGCTCGTTTTCGGCGTAGTGCGATATGCCCATAGCACTTCCGGCAGTAGTTCCAGCCACAGTCCCTTGGCATTCTCGAGTTTCTTTTTCATGATGTTCAATATTGTTTTGTTGGAGGATTCTGCCTGACCGTTGCATGCGGGATGATATGTCGTGGAGAGTATTCTTTTGATGTGCCATTTTTCGAAGAACTTGGCGGTCTTTTTCCGGTGAACTGGGGACCGTTGTCGCAACTGATTTCTTTGGGGATGCCAAAGTGGCATATGATGTTTATCCATATGAATGTGATTACTTTTTGCTCGCGTATTTGAGCGAATGCACCTGCTTCAAACCACTTGGAGAAATAGTCAATTAAAACTAAAAGAAATCGTACATTACCTCGTCCCGTGGGAGGGGTCCGACGATGTCCATTCCACATTGGATGAACGGCCAGAGAGATGTGACTGAATGAAGGTGCTCGCCCGCTTGGTGAATCATGGGGGGCGTATTTTTGGCATTGTTTGCACTTTTCGACAAAGTCGGCGGACTCCTTTTTCATCATCAGCCAATAGTAGTATGTCCGTATGAGGCATCTGGCAAGAGCTCGGTTGCCAGTGTGAGCTTTGCAATGGCCTTCGTGTACTTCTTCGAGGATGCGCCGCATTTGATTTGGTCAAAGCACTTTGCTAGGGGACCCCAAACATTCTTTTGTACAAGTCATTATTGACAATGATGTACCCGTCCGCCTGTATTCGATGTTTCTTGGCTTCTTTTTTATCGGGTGGGAGCACTCCGTCCTGCAAGTATGAGATAATACGATTGGGCCAGTCCCAAGCTAGGTTTATAGATCGTACCTCAATTTGATCTATTGATGAATGAGGGAGAGTGACCACGTCCCCCTCTCCGGTTATGCTTTTGGTGGCCGCTGCCAGTTTGGCGAGGCCATCCGCTTCGATGTTCTACACTCGGGGTATTTGGTCGAGCTGGCATTTGCTGAACTTGGGTAGTAGTTTGCAAATTTTGGCATGGTATTTCTGTAACCGCTGCTCCTTAATTTGGAAAGTCCCTATGACTTGGTTGATGACGAGTTGCGAGTCGCATCGAATGATGACTTGTTGTGCTCCGTACTTGAGTTCCAACTTTAACCCTGTAATCACGGCCTCGTACTCGGCCTGGTTGTTAGTCATATCAGGGCATCATATGGACTGGTGAACTATTTCGCCTGTTGGGACCTGGAGCACGAGTGCCAGTCCCGATCCGATGCATTAGAAGCGCCATCGGTATACAAAACCCATTGGTTGAGTATTTTGGCGAAAGTACCGATGGTTTCCTTTCGAATCGGACATTATCATCGCATTGAAGTCGGCGACGAAGTCGGCAAGAACTGTTCGTCGCCGACTTGTGAATTTATTGCTGTTCGCGGCTGATAGGTTATATTGTGCTTGCTCAGCTCTATGGCCCACTTGGCCAATATGCCCGACAATTCGGGTTTGTGCAGGATACTAAAAGTCATGACCACCGAGATGGGGTGGCACTGGAAATAAGGTCTAAGCTTTTGTGAAGCTACGACTGGGGCCAGAGCTAACTTCTCGAGGTGGGGGTACCTCATTTCAGCGTCGATCAAAGTTTTTCTAATGTAATAGATCGGAGATTTCGTACCTTTATTTTCTAATACCAGGACTGCACTTACTATGACATCGGACACGACCAAATAGACAAAGAGGCACTCTCCGGGTTCTGCCTTAGCGAGCAACGGTGGCGAAGACAGGTAGGCCTTTAGTTATTTTAAGGCGTTGACGCACTCGGAATTCCATTGGAGTCCGTTATCTTTTTTGAGTACGCCAAAAAATTCGTGGCACCTATCGGAGGACCGCAAGATGAACCTTGGCAGGTCAGTTATCCGACCGGTCAGCTTTTGCACTTGCTTTTTGCTGGTTAGATTTTACAGGATTCCTTCTATGGCCTTGATTTGGTAGGAATTGACCTCGATGCCTTGTTGTGATACCAAGAAGCCGAGGAATTTTCCAGATGTCATGCCGAAAGCACATTTTTCGGGGTTTAATTTCATGCCATACCTTTTGAGTATGTCAAAGGCTCCTCTCAGGTGGTCGATATTGTCTTCCTTTCTTTTTGACTTGACCAACATGTCGTCTATATATACTTCCATGGTCTTGCCGAGTTCATCTTTGAACACTTTGATCACTAGCTTCTGTTACATCGCCCACGCATTTTTTAAACCGAACGACATCGCCGTGTAGAAGTTTGTCCCCTGGTGGGTGATGAAGGTGGTCGTCTACTGGTCCTCCTCCTCCATGAGGATTTGGTTGCAGCCCGAGTAGGTGTCAAAGAAGCTCATCAGTTCGTGCCCGGCTGTAGCGTTGATGAGTTGGTCGATAATGGGGCAGCGGGAACGAGTCTTTTGGGCAAGCTTTGTTCAGATATGTGAAGTCTACGGACATTCGCCACTTACCATTTTTCTTTTTCACCATGACCACATTGGCGACCCACTAAGGGTACTTCAATTCTCTGATAGAACCGTTTACTAACAATTTTTCGACTTCCTCATGAACAACGTCATTTATTGCAGAGTCGAACTTTCGCCTAACCTGCCTTACTAGGGGTAAAATTGGTCGATGTTCAACTTGTGAGTTTCTATCTCCTTCCGGATACCTGGCATGTCTGCACGGGAAAAAGAAAATAGGTCTACGTTACTTCTTAAGAATTGGTGAAATTTACCTGGATCTTAGAGCTTATGGCCGATGAAAGCTTTCTTGTTGTTGTCGTCGTCGTCTAATTGGACGGGGTTGAGGTCCTCTATGGTTGACCCTGTGGCATATATGATTTCAGGGTGTCTGATGACGTCTTTCCTTTCATCGCCGTCTGACCTTGACTTTGTTAATTGTTATGCTATCTCGGCCTTTCCTTTCAATTGTTGGGTGTATGCGCAGTCTTGGGCGATGCAGTAGCATTCTTGAGCCGTGTGTTGCTCTCCCCGTATGCAGAATACTCCCCAGGGGGTGGGAAATTTAATGACTTGGTTTAAGCTAGAGGGGAAGATTTTCATGGCATGTATCCGCCGTCGGTCTATGATGGCATTGTACGCCATATCCCGGTCCATGATGTGGAACATGGTCTCCAAAGTGACACCGCCGACCAGGACAGGCAGTGGGATTTCTCCAGATGTCCACTCAACTGCATTGTTAAAACTTGTTAGCGTGATGCAACGTGGCACTATCTTGTCCTCGAGCTTTATTTGGGTGAGAACTCGAGGATGGATGATGCATGCGCTGCTTCCATCATCGACCATAATACGTCTTACATCAGTATCAAAAACACGTAAAGTAATGACAAGGGCGTCATAATGAGGGAAGACCAAACCGTGGGTATCTGACTTATCTAAGATGATAATTTCTTCGAGTTTGTCATAACGTTCGTGGGTGATCGACCGCTTGAGTTTGTGAGTGGTGGTGAACTTCACGCTGTTGATAGATGCGTCGTGGCCTCCTCCGATGATCATTTGAATGGTCCGAACTGGGGAATGTAGTTTGGGCGGACCCTGGATTTGTTCTCGCCCTCGGGTGAAGTTGGCCCTACCACGATCGCTCATCAACTCTTTCAGGTGCCATTGGTGAAGCATGTTCACGACCCCTTGTCTAAGGGCGATGCAGTCCTCGGTTCTATGACCCCGTTCCTGATGGAATTCACAGAGGGCATTTGACTTTCTGGTGCTCGGGTCGGATTTCATCTTCTGTGGCCGTTTTACTTTTGGGTCGAGCTTCTCCAGTGCGTAGACTATTTCTGAGGGGGAAACACAAAAATTGTGAGCTGATAATAAGGGGGCATACCTCTTTCATTTCGGTGAATTCATGTTCGCGGCCTGGATGGACCTTCAACATGGCGTAGAAGCGGCATGAAGGTGCCTCTGACATAAGGCTGATGTCTTTCTCGATTAGGTCGGGATCCTGCTAGATCCCTCTTGCTGTTCTTCGGTTTTCCTAGACTCCATTTGGACCGAGGTCAGATGTTAGGTAGGTCCGTTGAGATCATCCTCGTCGGCTCTTTCCTCGACATAATAGGCGTTATGTATCTCGTCCCAAGTTGTTGGAGGGTATTTCATGAGTCCGCTCAGCAACCTTTTGGTCGCCCGCGATCCACTTCTACTTAGCTCATTCTGGAAAGCGGCTACCTCCATTCCTTCAGATATATTCGGAAGGGTCATTCTTACACGGTTGAACTGGGCGAGGAAGTCCCTGAGCCCTTCGCCAGGTGATTGCTTAATGGAGAATATGTCGTTCACCCTCGCCTCTGCTTTTTTGGCCCCGGCATGGGTGGTGACGAACTTGTCTGCCATTTCCTCGAACGTTTCTATGGAGCGTGCAGGTAACTGAGAGTACCAAGTCAGGGTTCCGCCGGTTATGGTCTCTCCAAACTTCTTTAGCAATATGAATGATACTTGTTCTTTTGTGAGGTCGTTGCCTTTCATTATAGTGACATAGTGGGTCACATGATCTTCCGGGTCCATCGTGCCGCCATATATTTCATGTATGGTGGAATTTTGAAGGTTTTTGGTATGGCATGTGGTGCAGCTTCGTCGCTATATGGCTGGTCGACAAACTGGCTGGCGTCTCTTATTGGCAGAAGTTTTGGGGCACCTGGTATTTTGTCTACCCTTTCTTGGTGCTCTTTCATTTGGCTACGGAGCATTTTGTTCTCGTTCTCCATCTCCTCCATTTTCCTCAAAATGGCTATGAGGGTGTCATTACCTACATCACTAACATTGTGAGTAATGCCTGATGCAGGGGGAACGTGTTGTTCGTCAGCTGCTGATGCGACACCAGCTCTTGTTTTTTCCATATTCGACCTCCGAGCGGGCTTGTCTAGGAAGCTGGTTAGCGTATTTGTCAACCATGCCTCAAGTAGCTTTTTCACTACTGGTGTTTCTTTTGTCGTGGACGTAGAGGCACCCTTTCCGTGCGAGGTCGTGACGCTGTCGGGAGGTGGAGGCAAGCTGTTTCGCCTGGGAGAGGTGTTTGGTGTTATGTCTTCACCCTCAGCTTCGTCTACTTTGTTAATGGTGTTGAGGAGATTGGCGGTGAGATCGGCTATCGCCTTTCTCTTTTCCTCTCTGTTGCCTGCCATGTCAGATTTGTGCAAACAAGGAAATACGAGATTTTGCAAAGTTTATGCGTTCTTTTTTTAGATCTAGAAGAAACTAAAATTTTCACTAGAAAATCGCCACAGACAGGCGCCAAATTGTTTGACCAAAAAGTGGTAAACCTTTTTGTTAAACTAATTAAATAAATGATAATGGGTAAATTCTAGTTAACTATACTAAATCCTAGATCCAAGATTGACGGATTATCAATAATATAAAAACCGCATTCAAGGCTATTAAATACCAAGGGTTGTTTGATGATATTGTTATGAATGAATGAGGGGGTAATGACAAGCAATAAATATGATAAATGGCAATAAATATAAATAGAGTGAATGATTCACCCAAATATTCAATGAGGTGGATGATTCTCTATCTGACAATGATGTAAAGCAATCAAACGGGGGAATATAGAAAGCTTTCTCGGATATTATGTGATAAAGCTTGGGACAAACAACAAATCGAATCTTTTGCAAAGATAATGTTTGTAGTTACTTGAGAGTCAACTTTTCTAGAGAGAGCTTATCATATAGAATATTACATGTCCCTCAACTGCTCAGCTCGCCAATATATTATTCTTTAAGCGTGACCTCAACCTAGTCAATTCTTGGTAATCTCGCAAACAAAATTACTTTGATCGGATTTTGGCCCGTACAGTTACTTTGACAGTGAAGTTGTGAAATTTGGTAAAGACATTGTCATTCATCAACACGACTGAAAATGCTCATTATCCACCGTTGTAATGGACGCTTTATCCCACTGTTGAATTGCAAGTAGCAATTCCAATCGATTGGATCAAACCTTATATGTTCTTGAATCCACTAGCTCAGCCACATCTCATCAGTACTTGAGTCTCCAGCTCCGCTCTCCACGACATTTTCCACCACCACCCGTGGCGGCGATTCTTGATTGAACGTTCTCAAATTCAGATATCCGGCAAGGGATTTGGATCCCACCCGAATGATCATACCCATAAACCATCTCTGCCTCCCTCAACAACTCAGCAAACAACGGGTGATTAAAGTATATCACTGGCACCACAACTCTACACGTATCATCTCCCTTCTCTCCAACGTACACAACCAAGTGTCCCTTCGGTACACTCACTTTCTTCGACTCTATCTGTTCTTGCCCGACCCGGAAAAAACCCGAATTGGGTTTGGCAAAACAGAGACTTGTTACTCCGTGTTTTAGTAAGCGTAGACACTTACTCAGCTTCGAAATGGCTCTGCTGGCACATCCCTGTGACTTCACCCGCTTGTATCCTACTCCTCCTTTTGTTTTCTGGTTAATAAACCAGCTGAAAACTCTCACTAACTTTTTCCCAAGTCTGAAACCTCTTACTTTCTTCATAATTCAAAGTTGTCTAAACTTTATCTCACGAAACAAATACTTACTACGTACGTAGTAGTTTTTTTATATATATAGGAAAAATGGGTTATCACACAAAATATCAGGAAGTAAATCCCACTGTTAAAAGAGATTTTTGTTCTTGGTCTGAGAAGTTGGCAGTACTGTTGTTTTTACACAAAGCTGTAATAGAGATATGTAACAAGTCATCAAACTTGGTGGAAGAATATTTAGTGTTGAGTGTGTATATATGCAGAGATTGAGAGTAGGGGTGGGGTGGGATATGGGGGGATGGGGTGAGGGAAATGGTCGGCACATACGATGAGAAATGATCAGAAATTGTTGGGACTTAATTTGAGAAATAAATATTTGAGGGACAAGGAAGAAGGGTGATCAGCTGAATAGTCGCTGTGATCCTTCCCGGCTGTATGGAGTTTCAGGGGTCATGCGTAAAATCCCAAACAATGTACAAATTTTAAAAAAAGAAGAGGAACTTGGAGTAATAATATAACTATTTCTACTTCACTATTGTAATACTTTAATGACCAGATATACTAATCTAGGATTTAAACTTTACTCCATCCGTCTCATAGTATGGTGATTACTAAAAATAGTTGTTTCGAATTATTTGTCATTTTAGGAGTTAAAGACAAAATTGATTATTTTTTAATAATAGTAGTTATTCTTAAAGATCGAAATAACACATAAATAGAATAAATATTCAATGAAAAGAGATTACTTAAGATATAAATAAGGGTAGAATAGTCAACTCCCCTTCCTAATTATTCCCTCTGTTCCAGTTTATGTGAACCTATTTTATTTTTGGTTCGTTCCAAAAAGAATGACCCCTTTCTAAATTTGGAAACAACTTAGCTTAAATTTGTAGTTCTACCCTTAATGAGAAGCTTCTATTACCACACAAATACTTTGGACCCCCTTTTTGACTTGTTTAGAACCAGAAACTCCAAAAGTCGTTATTTTTTCTTAAACTCCGTGCCCAATCAAACAGGTTCACATAAATTAGAACGGAGGAATTAATATTTTTTAAAGGGCGTACGGTACATAATATGAGACATGGAGTATGAATTTAATGTCAACATTTATTGTATTTGTACTACTTTAATGGATCATATACCCATAGCTTATTCACTAGATTCGCCCTGATTGTTGTAGAGGATTAATAATGATGAAACCTTTTAATTCCATCTTCATCTATAGTGCTTATCCATTTGGCTATTCACCAAAAATTAGTTAAATATCAAATTGAGAAGGAATACACCTTCCGTCATTACAAAACCGTGTTTGATCCAAATTGTGTCCTACCAAAAGATTTGAAAGAACGAAAAAGCATCCTATTCATTGGAATACACCAAAATACTGTGTTGGTAACACACATGGAATGCTGGAATTTGGACTATAAAAGATCTGAATCCCCTATACAAAATATCAAAGATGGGGTACTTCCAGTTAGGCAGAGACACATGGCCACTAATCTACAACAACATTAGATAAATGTTTATCTCGTTTTGGCATTTTTGCGTAGGTCCTCAACTTTGTCGTCGTACTACATGATGTTTACCTCACAACACTTATTTCCTTAAATTCCTTTTTTCCCCTTTGGAATAACGAAACAAATTGACTTAGCTTTATTTCACTACTGATATAGACGAGGCAGTAGTTTTGGGCAGCTGAACTAAAGATGAAGTGATGACTCATGAAGAACATAACTACACAGGGAAGAGAAACGTCAGAGTTCTCAATATCCAACTAATAATTGCCTGAGTAAGGCCAAAAAGACAACGGAAAGATAATGCTGGCCTTTGTTTTGAAGATTGACAAAGGAAGCTCAGGTATGAATCAGGTTCATTTTTTGTATGCATAGATACGGGTAAATTCGAGTATGTGGGGTGCACGTAAAGGAGATAAACTTAACTTGGCATAATTAATATCTCCTGATCGAAAAAGTTGTATAATTGATAAGGAGAAAGACTCCTTACTCGAAGAGAACATTATCCAAAATAAGGAAGGAGTTAGAAGTTGAGATCAACGACAACTCTTCCACCAAGGAAGAGTAGCATTAGAACTCCAGTTATTTCTTCATCTACTAACTCTATATATTGCAGGATGTTCTCATTTTACAGGGATGCACAAAAGCAGAAGTAAAACGTGAATTGAGAGCAAAATAGCAAGATATTTTGCAAGCAGTTCATGCGTGATTCAAGTGTGCAAACCTGAAGCTACATGAACTAGATAGAAGAACCAGTTCCAAGTGTCTATCTCTTATTCTAGTTCATCTGGAGTAGGTGTTTTCATATTGTACCTTTCAGTTTTATCTAGAAGCAATTGTAATAGGTACTCAGAGTATTCAAGTTAGAGTTAACTTGAAGTTGTCGCAACAGTTAGAGGCTGTTTGCTACACGGGATTAGAGTTAGTCCTAGGTTTACAAAAATATTTTTGTAAATGCAATTTTTGGCTCAGTGATTTAGTGGAGAGTTTGGGAAAATCCTACTGGGAAGTAGGTCGTGGTTTTTTCACCTTTTGAGCCAGGTGTTTTCCACGTAAAATACTTGTGTTCTTTACTTTCCGCATTTACTATTTCAGCAATAGTAGGTTAAGGAACACTTAGAAGAACCAGGTCCTTCCATAATCAGTTTAGGTAAAAAATTGGACACCACACAAATCACACCCCCTCTTGTGTGGTATTGAAGTTAAAACATCAGATAAGAAAATGTACTCTCTTCGGTTCATTTTACTCGTTATTGTTACTAAAAATAATAGATCCAAAATGCTTGTTATTTAGAAAATCATGATAGAATTAATTTTTCCACTTTTACCCTAATTCTATTAAATGTGAAGAGAGATTATTGTGATGAAATTAAAATATTATTAAACTGAGGTCAAAGAATAAATAAGGACAAGTTAGTTAAATTATCCTTGTACAAACTAAAACATGAAAAAGTAATATGGATCGGAGGGAGTAATACTTAGATGTACATATGTAACGACACGACCGGTCGTTTTGCTTTGTAGATCCTCGTTTTCCTAAATAAGACTTTCCAAGTGTGCTTTTATTATTTTATGACTTGCTGGGATGATTAGTTCGGGATTTGAAAGGGTTCGAGTTGAAATCGTAACACTTGGTTCGTTAAGGTTGGCAAAAAGGGCTAAATTTGACTTGAGTCAACGTTTTGAGTGAACAACCTGGAATCAGGATTTGACTGTTCTAATAGGTTCGTATGATAATTTCGAAATTGGGCGTATGTTCGGATTGTATTTTGGATGACCCGGGAGCGTTTCGGCGCTTGATATTGATGGTTGGCACATTGAAAGTTTTAAAGTTCTTTAAATTTGGTTTGAATTAGCATTTGGTGCTATGGAGGTCCAATTAGGATTCCGAACCTGGGGATAATTCCGTATGGTGATTTAAGACTTGCACGCAAAATTTGGAGGCATTCCGAGTAGTTTAAGTATGTTTCGGCGCGTTCGGAGTAAGTTGGAAATATTTAAAGTTCATAAGTTGATTCTATTGGTTTTGGGTTGCGATTCGTAGTTTTAATATTGTTTTCCGCGTTCCGAGGGTGCGAGCGAGTTCGTTTTATAATTTCGAACTTGTTGGTATATTTAGACGGGGCCTCTAGGGCCCTCGATGCCATTCGGACGATGCGCGAAAGTCATTTAGCCTTGGTTGAACAGCTTAAGCACCCAACTTTTGGTGCAATCACACCTGCGGAGGGCCAGCCGCAGGTGCCAGCTTGCAGAAACGAGCCAGTAGACGCAGAAGCGGCCCAATGTAGGTAGCCCAGAAACCGCAGATGTGGCGGACAAGGTGGGCGCCGATGCGCGACAGCAGAAGCGGTCAAAGGACCACAGAAACGGGAGCAAGTGCAGGTGCGGCTCATCTGTCACATGAGCGGCATCGCAGAAGCGAGCCATTTTCCGCAAATGGGGATTTAGGCCAGCCAAGGGAGGACTGCATCTGCGATGAGACTTCCACAGATGCAGCCAATGAACCGCAGAAGCGGAAAAACCGCTGGACAAAACCTTCATTTAAGTCAAGACCTAAGCATTCTGGGTTCATTTATTGCATTCCTTGGGCGATTCTTGGAGCTCATAGAGATGGATTTTCAGCTAACACTTTAAGGTAAGTAATTTCTATACATATTAGTTTAAAACATAGATTTTGGGTAGATTGTAACATGTAAAATTGTAAAAATTATGGGTTTAGATGAAAAACCTAGATTTTGATAAAAATGGAATTTAACCACGAAAATGGTTATGGAATTGAGTGAAAATTATATATTTGAGTTCGTAAGATTATGGGTTACGATTTTCTTCGAAAATTTCTGAAATCAGGGCACGTGGACCCGAGGGTGAATTTTAAGAATCTTCCTATTTTGGGTTGGGTAATTACTCTAATAGTTAAATCATAAACTTTTGAACATGTATTGATTAATTTATATAACATTTGACTAGTTTCGAGTCGTTTGGCACCGATTTGAGGATGTAAAGCATATTTGTGGATCGGGAGTGAACGAGAACGAGGTAAGTCTCTTGCCTAACATTGTAAGAGGGAACTCATCCCCTTAGGTGTGTTTTGTTGTAAATTACTTGTGTGGGGAGCTACGTACGCACTAGGTGACGAGAGTCCATGCGTAGCTATATTTCATGTGATGTCCCGGTAGTCTTAGGTTTACCTCATACTTTGTTGACACCATTATTTGATTATGCATATTAATTGTCTTAAGTAGAGCTGAGATTGAGGATTTTAATATTAAAAGTTCCAGTTTAGACTTCTTATTTTGGAAAGAGTTGAAGAATTTTATAATAACTTTGAGAAATCTATGTTCACTCGCGTCACAAGCATTTCCGCGAGCGAGGTAAATTCCACAACTCTCATGGGAGCGGGCTGGTCGCATCAGCAGGTTAATAGATGAATCTATGGTTTGTGCCGTTTGACCCTTGGCAGTGCACACAATATATGTATATGTATTTTGGATCGGGC